GTACGACTACAATATTATTGATCTTAACAAGTAATACATAATATGTAATACTAAGTCATGTTAGTACGAGTAAGAATGCGGATCATACGTTGTAACCAGAATAGGTGTAATCAGACAAAGCGTAGTAATGCTATACTTGTATACAATAAATTCATATGATCGGTACTCGTATTACATTACCTCTAATGATACGATTCGTAATGTTACCTCCTGGGCCTCCTCCTCGCCGCTCAAACAGCTCCGAAGTCGACAAAAGAGCAACAAGAGCGGCCTGACAGGGCCGAAGACGCCCGAATCAGACTGCTCAAGAGGCACCGAAGCCGTCCTAAGAACGCTCCAATATGCGTCCCGAGAGGGCCCCAGGAAGCCAAACATGTTCCGTTCCATGAGCAAGCAATTGATCTGGCGACGGACCCATCTCTACGCAGTCATGTGCAGCACAGGGCGCGGGTCTCTCTTCATGCACTGCGCGCCGTGGGGCAATGCGGAAAGATGGCTCCTGCGGAGCACGCGTGCACGGGTGCGCTGAACTCCATGTGGGGCACGATCCGTGTGAAGGGTGTGCCGACTGATTCGGATGCCCCCGCGCGAACACGCCCACTAAGGCCGCAGGTGGACCTGCTCCGGATACGACTCGTGCGCGGCATGTTCCGAAATCAGCCCGGGGACGCCATGCGAAGCTGCCCATTCATGCCATATGTGGAGCTCCTCCTGGGGCATGATTCGCGTGACGGGTGTGCCAAGGGGGCGTTGTACGAAATTTGTCTCTGGGCCTTTAGGTGGTGCTCTTTGTAGGCACGATCCGCGTGGTGGGATGTGCCGCAATGGCCAGGGGGGGCGCAGTGCGAACCCTGCCTCGGGGCCGAGGGTGGAGATCCCTGTTGGCCATGAGCCGAGTGAGAGGTGTGTCGAAGTAGGCGGGGGGGGGGCGGGATGCGAACCTCGTCGTTGGGGCCGTCCGTGGAACTCTTGAGCGGGCCACGATCCATGTGAAGGGTGTGCCGAAGTGACTTTGGCGACGCTATGAAGCTCCCCTCTGCTTTTACACATGCAGATACTTGCGGGGCACGATCCGCGTGATTTGCGTGCAACTGTGCAAAATCTGACTCCAGGGACGTAGGTGGAGCTCCCTGTATGGCGCGATCTGGGTGAGGGGCGTGTCGACATGGGCGGGGGGAAGCTTGTCTCTGAGGCCGCAGGTGGAGCTCTCTGAGTGGCACGATACGTGTGATAATATATGCCCTCCGATGCCGTCGTTTTGAAGTACAAAGTAGAGCTTGCTAGAACCTGGGCGCGCGTGGTTTTAGGGCGTATGTATATATGTATATATAGATGTGCCATCGAGAAGGAGGAGGCACACACACACACATCCGCACCCAGACGGAGCAGCATCGGCAAGGGAATTTTGCGCACTCGTTCACGTAAGGAGGAGTTCAACCAGGACTATTTCGAGCAAATCCCCAATGCTTGAAGCCCGAGAGGCGATAGCCAGCGATGCCGGTTGCGGCGTGCGCTGCGTGATGCAGGGTGTTACACGACAGCACAACCTACGCACAACAAGAGCTTGTTCAAGCAGTTGCAGCATGCGTTTTCTCCTGCGACTCTGGAGCACCAGGACCGATCGACGACCATAGCCGCCACGCGTGCCATCAGGCGATCGGGGGCCAGGACGAGGAGGATTCTGCGCGCCGCCACGAGGAGCAGCACTGGGAGTTCGCGCTCGAGGGCGTCGAGGCCCGGGGCCCAGCAGCTCCTACTGCGGCCGTCGTCGTCGTCGAAATGTTCTAGACCTCCCAAATCGGGTCCGAGCAGATAGGGTCGGAGGATCGCGCCGCATCGCCGATGCATCCGCGATCTGGCTCGATGTGGAGCCCGCTGTTCTCCATTCCGACGGCGCCGATGCATCGTCGACGTCGCCGATGCATCGGCGTGCATCGGCGACTTGGCGCGATCCTCCGACCCCATCTATTTGGACCCCATTGGGAAGCCTTCAGTTTTGAAGATCCGCTCGGCCTCAGCCCACTGACCCTTCCTGGGATCCATCTCTGCCCTGTTGAGCCTCGGGCGCGCGCCCTGCCAGTGAGGACGGGAGCGCCCAAGATGCAGGCAGTGAGGGCAGCCGAGCGCAGAGGCGTCGGCGCCCTCCCCATCGACGACGTCGTCGTCGACGTCTTCCTCTCGGCGACGTCGCCGTCGGTCTTCGTTCATGTCCTTGAAGGCTCCTGGAGGTGTTCCTTCAAGCAGTGGCGAAGCGTCCTGGCACGCCTATAGTCCTACCAATGAATGTTCTAGGAACCTTTTGCGGTTTCAACGCAATGCTCTTAGAACATTTCTGGTTGGGGCTGGCCTGTTTTAACACATAAGGCTTACGTTCTACGAACATTGTTTTTGTTCTTCGAACATTTTTGGGTTCTAGGAACATTTCGTGGTAGGACTACAGGCTAGAGGAATGCCGGGACGGTCGGTCCCTGCTCAATTCCTGCCGCAGGATGCGCTCCAGAGGCGGAGCCTCGCCGATAGCCTTCCCGGGACCCGTCGCCGGCGATGGGGGGCCGCATGCGAGCCCTGCCCCCTGCCCCCCACGATGTCTGAGGGGGAGGGGTGGGGTTCGCTCCGCTCGGGAGCTCCCGAGCGAAGGGAACCCCACCCCTCCCCCTCAGGAATCGTGGGGGGCAGGGGGCAGGGCTCGCATGCGGCCCCCTACTGTCCGGGGGTGCGCCTCGGCCAGAACAGGAGGGCGAACACCCGGCCGGGGCCAGGAGGGCGCCCGGGAAGCCAAGAGGCGCGAGAGAAGTCTCCAAGCGGTCGCAGGAGGCACAGAGGTAAACTTCTGGAGGCTGCGCGGCTCTCTCTTGGGCGGGCGCTGTCCCCACCCCCGTGGTGGCGCTCTCGGCGCCGCGCCTGGCGCTGTCCCAGCGCCAGGGATGGGGCCAGACCCATCGCCGATCCAAGTCCACGCGGACTTCCATGATTCTATGTTTAAATCGGGCCTTTCCTTCTACAGGAGGAATGTTCAAGAATGGTCGAAACATAGTAAGGGGACGATTTTTCTAATATGTGGATTGATATTAGTGTATTTGTTCTAGCTCCTTTCAACCCTCTAAAATAAGTCCTATAGGAGAATATGCCCGACCAATTATTATGCCCGACAAGTCGATATTGTTATATGCCAAAGAAAGAACCCCCGGCACATCTCGTACAACCCACTCGCCGCGGCCCGCGGGCCCGGAGTGTGCTGGCGTTTTCTTGGAGATCCCGTGTTAATGTCCTCGACGAACGACGACTGCATTCCATGGTCGCCAGGCCCACAGCGTGCCCGTGCTCCCTGGGGATCCCTCCTCGCATTCTCGGGCCGGGGATCCGAAGCAAACTTATGACAGTGCTCATGTCTTTTGGGTTTCTTGCACTGGTCGCGGCCGTTGTGTAGCCGCTCGCGGGATCCTTCGTGTTACTGTATACCTTTCCTTTTGTACAGGGTCCGTACCACTTCCGCGTCGCTTCTGCGCCCCCGCGGTCGTTGTGCCTTGATGGTGCTGCGCGCGCGTCGCGCGTGGGCCAGAAACTGCGCCAGGCGTAACGCGAAGGCTGCCGCGACCGCCAACCCAGCGGCCGCTGCTCCCCGGGGACTCCGCCGCGCGCTCTCGTGCGGGGGCCGCTCGAAGCAACAGAAAGCTCATGCCTTGCTGCCTCCGCCGCCGCCATCGCCATCGGACCATCGTCATCGTAGGGCAGCCGTGCCCTGCGACGGGAATGTTTCTGATGCAGTTCGCTCGCACACAATCCACGGACTCAAGCAATGTGGACCTTTTGCTTCCCCGAAGTCGATGGATGAACAAAAAGTCATCGCCGTCGTCGCCGCCGTCGTCGCCGACGGCCGCTGTCGGCGGCCGCCCAGGCCCAGCAGCTCCCCGGCGAGGCCTGCGGCGCGGACGCCGCCGCAGGCCGCGAGCACGCGTTCGGGGCGGCGCCCGTGCCGCCGGGCGCCGCGGGCGCGGTGCGCGAGGGCGAGGAGCGCACGGGGGCTCCGCGTGCGCGTGCGCGCGAGGGGCGAGGAGCGCGAGGAGCGACGGACGGGCCGAGACGGTCCCGCGCGGGGAGGAGGAGGAGGAGGAGGAGGAGGAGGAGGAGGAGGAGGAGGAGGAGGAGGAGGACGAAGAGGAGGAGGAGGAGGCGGAGGAGGGGGAGGGGGAGGAGGAGGAGGACGAGGAGGAGGAGGAGGAGGAGGAGGACGAGGAGGACGAGGAGGACGAGGAGGAGGACGAGGAGGACGAGGAGGACGAGGAGGACGAGGGGGAGGAGGAGGACGAGGAGGAGGGCGAGAGCGACGGGGTTCGAGCAGATGGGGTCGCATGATCGCGCCGCGGCGCCGACGCATCGGCTTTGCGTCTCGATGTCGTGGGGGAGCCTGGTTTTTCGGACGCTGACGGCGCCGTTGCATCAATGAGGCAGGGGCTTTGTGTTGGCGATGCAGGGGCGTCGAGTCGGAGAACAAGACATGATGTGTTAATCGTTTACCGCGTTCTTGTTAGTCTGTGTGCTTTCAGGGCAAGGGGCCGCCTTGGGGGTCGCGGCGCCCATGCTCCGTGACCTGTCTTGGCTCAAGTACAAACACGGGCCCTGCGAGTGGACCGTGAAGGCTAGCATCGGCAGTTGGTACCTTAGTGCATTTGGTTCGCTGCCATCGGGCGCACCCCACCTCCGAGCCCAGGACGCCGCTCTCTCGCTGCCAGCGGTGCCGAGTGGACGTGCGCCGAAGGACGCCCCCCAGTCGTCCCGTGCTGCGGAGAAATTATTTTTCGAAGATGGGCGAGGGTCGTCAGTGTTGCGGTGGCTCCAGGCCTCCTGGAAGGGGTCCCTGTAGATGGGGTCGGAGGATCGCGCCGCATCGGCGTTACATCGGCGATGCGGCTTGATGTGGAGCCCGATTTGCTTCACGTCGACATCGCCGATGCGTCGCCGACGTCGACGATGCGTCGCCGGTGCATCCCCTATGCAGCCCCGATGCATCGGCGATGCGGCGCGATCCTCCGACCCCATCTATTCCGACCCCACCTAGGAGGTCTCTAGTGGCTGATCGAGAGTGCTGGCCAAACAGGCGTTCGCACCAGTGGAGCTGGCGTGGTCGTGCCTTGCCTCGGCCGGGCCTCCCAGTCGCCCAGCTCCAAGTGCAGGGGAGACCAGCGGGCCCGACCACCCGACCCCTCCTGGAGAACGGTCGGGCCTCTCGATGCGCTCCGAGCCCGAGTCGTGGCCCAGACGTGGATCGTGGGCGCTCTCTCACGTGAAGGCCTTGGCCCTGGCGCCAGGCCGTTCTCTCGCCTACGAGATGAGTTGCGGGAGGCTGGTGGAGGCGTTGCGCCTGAAGATCTCGGAAGAATGCGGCCTCGAGGCGTCTGAGCTCGTCATGGGCACGCGTTCGGAGATCATGCGCGATGGTCGCATTCTCGCTAGATGCGGCCCTGACGAGGGCGTGTGCATCACGGTCACTCGGCGTGTTCGCGGCGGCGCGGACGAGCCCGAGGATGCCTTCATGCCCGCAGACGCTGCCTAGGCCGTTTCCGAAAGCGACCTCCTCCCGACCCGCCGCCGAGAGGGAGGGAACTTCTGCGCCCTGCAGCGCGGCCGACTGCACCTGGGTCTGGGAGCCAGACGACTCCTTCGAGCAGGACTCTCCGGGTCATGCGAGGATGGTGGCGTCGAGGCAGTGCCGTTCAACGGACGCGCAGCGTTGATGGGCCGGTTTTCCAACACCACCACCATAAGTTGGAGGGGGGGGAGGAGGAGGAGGAGGAGGAGGAGGAGGAGGAGGAGGCGGAGGAGGACGAGGAAGAGGAGGAGGAGGAGGAGGAGGAGGAGGAGGAGGAGGAGGAGCAGGAGGAGGAGGGAGGAGGAGGAGGAGGTGGAGTGGGAGGGGGGGAGGGGGAGGGGGAGGGGGAGGAGGAGGAGGAGGAGGAGGAGGAGGAGGAGGAGGAGGAGGAGGAGGAGGAGAGGAGGAGGAGGAGGAAGGAGGAGGAGGAGGACGAGGAGGAGAGGAGGACCCCCCCCTCCCCTCCAACTTATGGTGGTGGTGGTGGGGGTGGAAAAGAGGCCCATGAAGCGTGTTCGCCTGGCCCAGGTCAGCATGGACATCCTGCTGGCCGGCTCCCGCGCGGCACCGGGCCGGGCTCCGCGGCGCTCCTACCCGCGGGGGAGGCCGAGGCCACAGCCCCCGCCGTCTTCATCCGAGCGCGAAGCCGGTGTGGCCGAGTGGACGCTGCTCGAGACACTCTCACGCACCGCCCCTTGGGACGGCTTTCGTTGGATGGTTCGTGCCTTGCCGGGCGTCCTCGACTGGGCCGTGGCGCAACCCGTCAGACCGGAAGCGAGGACCTTCCCAGTTGAGCGACGCCAGAGAATGGGGTCGTCTGCGCCGACATCGGCGCGTACGCTTCCCGTGCAAGGTCGCGCGTGAGCGCCCTCGCTTTCAGTGTAGCGTTCCGCGCTGGCGGCCCGCCTAAGCCACCGCGTAAGGTCGCTATAGTGTCTCGCGTAATTTAAGACCCTGTTTTATCGTCGCTAAATTGGGCGCTGTGGCCAGCCAGCCTTGGCGCCAACAACCCGCGCGACAGCTCTCCACAGCGGCGTGGCCGACACCCTGCGTGGCGGGGGGGGGGAGCAGTACATCGCGCGGAGGTCGAGAGAGGCACCTCGGAGGCAGGGGCTCGCTGGCTACCCCGCTGACGGCCAACCTCGCGGACGCGATGGTCGCCGGGACCTCGCGGCCAGAGCCAGTCTCTGCAGGATCGGGGAACCGTAAGACTCGAGTAATTACACCGGGATTCGGGTTAGCCGACGTTTTTTGACGAGCGCGTCCTGGATGTTGACGGTCCAGGTTTCGTGGGATGTCTGCAGCGGGAGCTCGCGTCAGATTTCAGATTGGGTCTCGCCATGTGTGTGATGCCTCCGTCAGGCCAACCCGAGTCCCCCGAACCCGAGTCTAACGTCTCCCCGACAGGAGTGCCGGGTTCGGCCACGATGACCGCGGACGTGCTCCAGCGCCGGGGCGCGAGCACTGCATCGCCGGGCGCCCCCACCCTCAAGCAGGCTGGCGGCGCCCACGACGAGCGGAGGGGCCACCGCAGCCAGGCTAGCTCAGCAGGTCGGGCCCGGGGGTGGTGGAGGCCCCCCTTGGGGCTGGCACTCCTCAGACAGCCCCGCGGCGGCGGTATAGACCCGATGGCCACCCGTGGCCCGGCTCCTGGGGTGCAGCCTTCTGCTAGCCGCAGTTCTGGCCAGGAAGGTCGGCATCACAGCCTGTTGCCCCTTCGTCGGCCCTCCCCACTTTGGCTCTCTTCGAGACTCGGAAGGCTCAGCTGCGCATCTCTGCAGGTGTACCCGTCGCCGGCTGCGGCGCGCTACGCACGTGGACGTGGTGTGTGGTGAAAGTGCTGCCGCGCCGAATGACATCAGCCATGGCTCTGCCTGTCCACAGATACTCGAGGCACCGCCGGCTGGGCAGCAGGTGAGCATCGACCTGATTCGCCATGCTGTCTTGGTCATGGCGCCGCCGCCAGGCAAGGTGGGTGGCCCGGGGGCCCTTCGAGCGCCCTGGGCTGCGAGCACATGCGGCGAAGGTGCCGTGATCGCTCCCCTCGGCGCGGGCGCCGCCCGCCTGGTCGACCTCTGAGGAGTTTCGAACCAGATCCCTGAACACTTGGCGCCGGAGCGGTCGATGTGGCCAACGTCTGCTACAGCATCCAGCTCCCAGAGGCCCCGGAAGCCTCTTCGTTCGCCCGCGCGCCCGCTCCGACCTGGTGAATGTCTTGGCCGCCTACGGGCGGGCAGCTCGCCGTGGCCAATGCTTGCGCCCGGTCCTCACGGTTGATTCGACGAGTTGGAAGCTTACTCGCCATGGGTGGAACGGGTCCCGAGGGAGACCGGCCCCTAGGATTAAGTCGGGCGTGTCCCCCTACAGGGGGATTTTCAACGAAAAATAAAGAATACCCCAACAATAATAAAAACATAGTCCGAAAATTGGCTGGGGACTATTTTTGTTAAGTATTTGTTTACCTTTTTGGTGTATTTTGGGGGTATTTTTATTTTTCGTCGACTCCCTGCAGGGGGACATGCCCGACATAACCCCTGGGTTTTCGTCGTTTCCAGGCTCTCGGGGCCCACCGCGGGCCCCAGGATTGGCAGGCACTTTGTCGGCATGGGGAGCTCGCCCTGGGGGGGGAGGCCCTGCAGGGTCCAGGACCCGCTTCCATCGAAACCCGGGATTCCGGTGCCACCTGTCTCTCCTTCTCTGGGCGTGTCAGCAGGTTTCGGGGCGCGCGTCCCGACGCGTGCTTGGCTCTTCCCAGCTTGCACGCGTTTGCGCGCGCAGGGTCTGTCGACGACGTTTCGGTTTCGGCAGGGGATGGCGTGGTCGTCCGCTCCGCGGCGGAGGAGGTCGAGTGGGAGCTAGACAAAGTGGCCTTCCCACTCACCGCGCTGAAGCGCGCGCCAGAACCGCAGCTTGTGGTCGGAGGACACTGCTAGTGTAGGAGCCAGCCCCATCGGATTACCCGGAATATCCGTATAGCAATTCAACGGGCATTTTTCTGCGGGCATGCAAGGGTGGATACGCTGGAAACTACCGTGCTACGTTTTTTTTTCCGAGCGGGCGCCTGTTCGCGGGGAGTTGATGGCCGCGTCCTCTGCGGGCTACTCCTTCGCTGATGACGCTGGACCCCGTCGCCGCCGTCTCTGGCCGCGCGCTTGTCGCGAGTTCTCGCGGGCTGCTGGCCCCGTAATCTTGGCGCGCTGGATCCAGGGGGCCGCCTGGTCCGCGCGCCATCTCGGGGCGGCAGCACTTCGCGGCAGCGGGTGCCCCCCCGGGCGGATGTCCGGGCGCCAGGCGCCAACGCCGCGAGAGGCGTAGGTTTGCTCGCCCGAAGGAGTTCTAGCGGCGCTCGGCCTCGCGATCGCGCGCTGGTTTTCCCGCGCCTCTTCGGAGGCTTCCCGGCGGACGGGGCCTCCCCCTGCCGTTCCCCTGCCGCACGGTCCACGTCTCTGACGGCGGCCCTGGAGGGGGAGTGGGAGGAGGAGGAGGAGGAGGAGGAGGAGGAGGAGGAGGAGGAGGAGGAGGAGGAGGAGGAGGAGGAGGAGGAGGAGGAGGAGAAGGAGGAGAGGAGGAGGAGGAAAAAAGAGGAGAAAGAGGAGAAAGAGGAGAAAGAGGAGAAAAAGGAGGAGGAGGAGGAGGAGGAGGAGGAGGAGGAGGAGGAGGAGATGGGGGAAAAGAAGGGGTAGGAGGAGGAGGAGGAGGAGGAGGAGGAGGAGGAGGAGGAGGAGGAGGAGGAGGAGGTCATCAGCTCGGACATTTGGGGCGGGGGTTGGCGTCGGGCAGGCGTCGGGGCCGACGCGAGGCCCAGCTCCATTTTGGGGGCCGTCTCGTGGTCTTGGCCCCCTTCCGCAAGATGCGGTCGGCGGCCATGTTCGAGGGCGCCACCTCATCTCGAGAGACGCCGACGGCGCTGGGTCTCGGATCCGAATCTGACCGTTGGCACGACCGCCCGTTGGAGATTGCTGCGGCGCAGGGCGGAGGCGGGGAGATGGAGCTGGGGCCCCGCCGCGTCTTCACGAGACCGATCTGCAGCGGGACGGCCTGCCTCAGCGCGACATGCTTTGCCTGAGACACCCCCGGGCGCGCAATTGACGCGCCGGAGCCCATGCCGGTCGGATTGGCCACGCTTTCTGCGCCGATGGCAGCCCCGATGTCAGCTCCCGCCTCGGCACAGACAACTGCAGCTCCGCCCCCGCGGGGGGGGTCGCGGCGCCCCGCATCCAGCATCGCGCTCTACCTCGCGCTGTTGCTAGTCGAGATCTGGGCCATGTTGCGCCACTGGCGGGCGGCGGCCGCGGCCCCGCGACCCTAGCATACTTCGCGTTCCCCGGCCGGCCGCCGAAGGTCGCGCTGGGGGCCCTGGCATGGCTGCGCGCGACAGGCGTCAACTCGCTTCTCCGAAGCCTGCCGCGGTTCGCCGCCATGTGGTCGCCGTTGCTGATCGCCATGGGGGGCGCCCCCTCCTCCCCCAGCAGACCGGGGAGCTCAGCGAGTCGCTGGGCCTCGACAGCGCGATTTTCTGCTCGATCGTGGGCTTCCTGACTCACCTTCGTGCCGGCCGCGCTGGAATGCCGCCGCTGCTGGCTCTGGGCTTCTCGGCGGGTGCGCTTTCCCACCGTGGGCGCGACCGACCGATGTAGGCCTCGGCGGGTGGGGAACGCCAGCGTTGTGTTATGTCGGGCGTGTCCCCCTACGGTGATTTTCGACAATTTTTTTTAACCCAACAATTCACCAAAAAGGTCAAAATATATTCCAAAAGTAGTCCCCAGACTATTTTTTTTTGATTATTTTTAGATAAATTTTGGAGTATGTTTTATTGTTCGTCCAAATCCCCCTGTAGGGGGACAGGCCCGACTTAAGCGTTGTGCCGCTCGCGGAGCTCCCCCGGCGCGGCCCCGCGGCTCGCGCTCCCTGGCGCTGGTCGGCCGCGGCCCGTGGATCTTGAGGCTGCTCTGCGGCGTTCCTCGTGCCGCGGCTGTCGGATTGCCCGTGGGGGAAAAAGCACACACACAAACACAAACACACAAACACACACATATTCACACACAGACA